AGAATATTTATGGCTCAGGATTTCCTAGGTGTTAAGTGAAATAAAGCTTACATAAAATCTCAACAATTTGTTAGTCTACGAAGATAAAACTTGAACTTAAATCATTGACGCTCTTGATGATTCTTAAAATAGAAATTTATAAATTGTACTATTGCATTTTCATATCTCATTTTATTCTGCCAAAGAAGTGAAACTAAAATATACTCTGCTCATTTGCTCTTTTTTAGATAATAAAGGCTTACAGCCTTGCATTTCCTTTAAGTTAAGATTATTTGCAGGTGTTCCACTGCATGTGCAAGTGATAGATTAATTAAGGATATCCCCCAGTCATTATTAGGTATAATTAAATACATGTAATCAGTTGTATTGAGACAGGGAAATTGCTAGCAAATTTAAGAGTTCAATTGTCCCATTAAAATCTTAATTTGGTACTCATAATCACCTTTGGCCAAAAAGAAGCCTCCAAGATTGAGCTTATATCATGACATTATTTTAAAATTCTGTTCATAATATTTTCTGTGACTGAAAAAAAATACTCTTTAGTTATTCATTGATATGACTCAACATTATGCTTCTTCTGTATTCACCTAATGATGTCAGTAAAACCAACTGGATTTTTATTCATTCATCCACTTTATTTTTTTCCTGTTCATTATCTATTTAATTTCTTTTTAGCAAGCATTTATTGAGTGTTTACTGTAGTAGTTTTAATCTCAACTTCATGTCAAAACGGCCTGTGAATCTTTTTTTTTAAGTAGTGATTCCTGAGTGATAAATATAGCTCTAGTTCGGTAGGTTTAGAGTGGGGCCAGTCATCTTTATTTTGTCCATTTGCTGCTGGTGCTTGTGATGTTCATTCTGAGCTAAGAATCAAACTTCTCTGTCAAGTGCGAGGGATGGTAAGAGTGAACACAGAATAGTCCCTGTTCACAAGATCACAGTCAAGTGAGTGAGACAGATGAGTAAACTAGTCATTACAGTGCAGCGAGGTAAGTGCTACACTTGGGGTAAGCACACCCTTTGGTCCTGCGTTAACTAGGTCTATTGATGGGCTATGAAAGACGAAAAGGAGATTTTTCCCTCATCACCAAGCCAAATGATCCAAATTGTGTTCAAGACCATATTTTCCATCTTACCTACACTATTCCTTAATCAAATAAATTAACCATGCTAGACTTTGTGATTAAACTCAAGAAGAGAGAGACCAGTTTTAATTTCTGATTAACAGGATTTGGGAGATGAGGAAGGAGTGAAGAGTTGCAAAACAGTGAGTTCCTCACAGAGACCATATCTGTCTCATTAATATTTTTCTCCTATGGCCTAATTCCGAGTTCGGCCTATGGGCAGACATTGGACCTGGTGTGGTTTTGAAGCCTGTTTTTTTCTGATGACTTGTGTGCAGGTATTCCTTCCTAGTCACTGTATACCCAAGAGAACTGTTTCTTGCCCTCTGCCTAGTGTCTGTTACAAGGGATTCCATTTTGTTGCCTCCCTGGCAGGAACATTTACTGGTTATCTTTAAGCTTGATAACTTGAAGAACCATGCTTAATTTGAATGGTTGGATTGTTTTTTATTTCCTTGTCTGCTTGTACCATTGCCAGTTAATGTTTGATTCTTAGTATTTTAATTTTTATTACCATATGCTGTTTTATATTCTTCTGTTTCTTTTTTAGTTCACTTTACACAATCTGCATTGTCAACCTGTTTTTCTATAAATTGTAGACACAAAGTGCCGTATAAAGGAGGGTAGTCCTGGAAGGTGAACTTATCTTACATGAAGGAAAAGTTGTACCTTTGAACCCCAAGGCAGTACCAACAAGGTCCACAAAACACATTGCCCATTGCAGACCCCTGTCATCTCTAGGGTTCTTTTTTTTCTTTTCTTTTTTTTTTTTTTTGGAGAGGTTTTCGCTATAGGGCACGTGCGCTCGCCAGACAGAGAGAGACATAGAGACAGAAAGCGAGAAATCACCCCCCAGGGGGGATGGCCACACTGCAATCCCTTCTCCTCCATTCTCCTCTCGGGATCTTGGGCACGCATGCACACGCGCCCGGTGTGAGTTTTAAGCCACCGGGTCCGGGACTCGAACCGTGGTCGACTACGTGGGAGTCCAGCGACATAGCCATTACGCTAACTGCTGGTTCCCATCTCCAGGGTTCTTGAAGATGGGACTTGAGAGGTTGACAGGGCCATCTCTAAAAATCCTTTCCAGGAAATCTATTTGATATAATCCAGATCAGAATTCCCTAAACAACAATAAGAAAACCCCAGAAGGAAAGCCCTGCAGATTAGAGTTATTCTATTATCATTTTTTTTTTTTTTTGGAGAAGTTTTGCTACAGGGGGCATGCACTTTGCCAGAAAGACAGAGACAGAGAGACAGAAAGCAAGAAATCACCCCCCAGAGGGGATGGCCATGCCACAATCCCTTCTCCTCCATCCTCCTTTCGATCTTGGGCACACACGCATACTCTCTCGGCGTGAGTTTAAGCTACCGGGTCTGAGACTTGAACTGTGGTCAACTACATGGGAGTTCAGCGACATAGCCATTACGCTGACTGCTGGTCCCAATTATTCTATTATCTTTAAGGCCATCCATTCCTAAAGATAATTGAAGGCTCTTATGTTCGTTCTCCATAATTTTATGACTTTGGCAAGGCCTAATTAAACCTTTACAAAGAAACGTGTGTCTGAGTGCAGTGGTGTCATAGTATGGGTCTACTTAATGTGAATATGGATCGTACAAACTTAAAATTGTGCAATATGAAATAAATAAAATCCTGCTTTATGCAAATGCTTTGAAATAAAAATAGATTCCTTCCAATTAAATAATTAGGAATCTCAGAGTTTCATAACTAGCTGGCTGACTGAATTATAAATTGTGTCCATCCTGCAACCACAGGAAGATATTTTAGCTGGTAAATAGTTCATCAGGAAAGTCATGGCATATTTTTCTGTTTATCTATGCAAAATACATCATGACTTTCCTGATGACCCAATAGAAATAACTAATATTTTTTGTCATGCCAAATGAACCAATAATCCTATTTGTATTAGAACTGATGATTTTAGACATTATATTTGTTATTTTGTTATAAAACATTCTGTTTTCATTAATTTAAAAGATATAGTCAATGAGGATATTAGTAAACATTTACTAAGCTCTCTGCCTTTCAATTATCTCTTGAATTTTGTTAACATAGAATCAGGCATGGTAAATTCAATGCTGTGTTAACAAACACATTCTCAAATAAATATCTTTGAAACAGTGGTTCAGTGATAAAATGTTAAGAAAGTTAAGCAGTTACCATGTTGTTGATCCATGCTTAATTCCCTTCTCTATTTCTTTCTTTCTTCTTTCTGGATTTTAGACATGCACACACACACACACACACACACACACACAGACACACACTCCAGGCTTGTGTGTTTTGGGGCCTCCAGGTCAGGACTTGAACCACTTACTTTACCATGTGATACGCGGCCACCTTAGCCACCACAGCACCAGCTGGCCCATCATTCTCTTATTAGATACATCATTTGCAGTTCTTTTCCATTCTCTAGGTTGTCTTCTTGTTTCTTCCTTCCCCACCCCCCCGGCATGACCATCCCCCCCGGGGGTTGATTTCTCACTTTTTTAATTTTTATTTTTTAAATTTTATTTATTATTATCATAATTATTTTCATTTCTTGATGGAACCCCTTGAAGGACAAAAGTTTTTAATTTTAATGAAGTCCAACTTACTTGATTTTTTTCTTTTGTTTTCATGATTTTGGTGTGATATCTAAGAATCTTTTACCAAATTCAAAGTCATAAATATTTACTCCTATGATTTTTTTTCTAAGAGTTTTCTAGCATTTTTTTTTAGAGAGGTTTTTGCTATAGGGCACATGCTCTCGCCAGAGAGACAGAGACAGAAAGTGAGAAATCACCCTCAGAGTGGATGTCCATGCAGCATTCCCTTCTCCATTCTCCTCTTGGGATCTTGGGCATGCATGCACAGGCGCCCAGCATGAGTTTAAGCCATTGGGTCTGGGACTCAAACCGTGGTCAATTGCATGGGAGTCCAGTGACATAGCCATTACGCCAACTGCTGGTCCTTTTTTCTAAGAGTTTTCTAGTTTGGGCTCTTGGTTTAGGTCTTTGATCCATTTTGAGTTCATTTTGTGTGTAATATGAGATAAAAATGTATTCTTTTGCATATAGCTTTCCATTATACCAGAACCATTTGTTCAAAAGATTTTCTCCATTGATTAATCTTAACACTCTTGTCAAAAATCCATCGTCTGTAGACGCACAGGTTGATCTCTTAACTCTCAGTTACCTTCTGGTGATCTGTTTTGTGTTATGCCAATCCCGTACTCTCTTGGTTACTATTGCTTTAGAGTAAGTTTGGAAATCCATTAAGTGTGAGTTTTCCTACTTTATTTTTATTTTTTCAAGGTCATTTGGGATGTTTTGAGTCCCCTTTAACTCCATGTAAATTTTAGAATTAACTTATCAGTTTGTATCAAGAAGTCAGCTGGTATTCTGATGGGGTTGCACTGGTTCTTACTAGGTCAGTTTGGGTAGTATTACTATGGAAACAGTGTTAATTCTTCCAGTCTTTGAACATGAAATGTTTTTCCAGTAACTTAGGTCATTAATTACTTTTTTTTTTTTAATCCAGAATGTGTTTATTGGTATGTTTTCCCCCTCATCTTTTTTTTTTTTTTTGGAGAGGTTTTTGCTATAGGGCACGTGTGCTCGCCAGACAGACAGAGAGAGACTGAGAGATAGAAAGCGAGCAATCACCCCCAAGGGGGGATGGCCATGCCGCAATCCCTTCTCCTCCATTCTCCTCTCGGGATCTTGGGCACGCACACACACGCGCCCGGCGTGAGTTTAAGCCGCCGGGTCCGGGACGTGAACCGCAGTCGACTACATGGGAGTCCAACGATATAGCCATTACGCTAACTGCTGGTCCCGGTTTCCCACTCATCTTCAGTCGGGATGCTTTTAGTGCTGCTTCCTCCTGAAGGAACATCCTTCTGTAAGCCCCACTTTTCCTCCTGTAGGCTGACAGAGGACAGTGGAGCAGCCAATGCACAAAACTACTGTTTGTGCATGGTTAAAGACTGTGGTGATTGTATAGCATCCTGGGCACTTCACAGCCATGACGCAGGAATTCGGGCTCTGCACCAGGCGCTTCTTCTTGTGTTTCCTCTTCTCTTCTGGAGAGGGATGAAGGAGGTCCTTTGCAAGAGGCATGTTCTCGTGTGGAGGTCGTCACTGCTGGAAAGGGAGATCATTATTTACTTTCAAAAATGTTTTTTAGCTTTCAGAAATAAGTTTTGTACTTCTTCTGTTGACTTATTCCTGTTGAATTTTTTATACTATTGTGAATAGAATTGTTTAATGTCATTTTCATAATAGCTCATTGTTAGTGGATGGAAATACAACTGACTTGCCTATTAATGGTGTGACTGCTACTTTGCTGAGCTCATTTGTTGGTTCTATTGGTTTGCGTTTGTGTGTATGTGTTTTTTGTGTGGTATCTTTAGGATTTTTCTATATTTCAGATGTCATCTGTGAATCGAGATCATTTTGCTTCTTCCTTTCTGATCTAACTGCCTTTTACCCCATTTCTTGTCTAGTTGCTCCTACTAGAGTTTTTAGTGCTATGTTGGACTGAAGTGGTGAAAGCAGGCTTCCACATCTTATTTCTATCTTAAAGGCTTTTAAGTTTTGAATATGGTAACAGCTGTGACTTTTCTTATATGGCCCTCATGTTGAGAAAGTTTCCTTATATTCCTACTTTGCTGCTTCTATTATAAAAGAATGTAGAATTTCGTCAAATACATTTTCTGAATCAACTGAGCTGATTGTGAGAGGTTTTTCCTTCATTCTGTTAATGTGGTGTATTACATTAATTGATTTTTGTATATTGAATTACTGTTTCATTCCAGAAATAAATCTTGCATGGACACAGTGTATATTGGTGAGGATTTTTATGTCCATATCATAAGAGACACTGCTCTGCAATTTTCCTTTCTTGTGATATCTTTAGTTTTATTTTCAAGGTAATACTGGCATCATAAAATAATTTGGGAAGTGTTCTTTCTTCAGTTTTTTGGAACAGCTTGTGAGGTATTGGTATTAATTATCTCTTAAAAATGTTTTCTAGAGTTCAGCTGTGAAGTAATCTGAGCCAGAGCTTTTTGTGTATGTAGAATTTTAATTGCTGATCCAATCCCTTCACTTGCCATAGATCTGTTTGGATTGTGTATTTCACATAGGATCAGTTTCAGCAAATTTTGTCTTTCTAGGGTTTAGCCACTCCAGTGAGTATTTGGTAATGTTTAATTGTGATTTTAATTTGCATTTTCATAACTAACAATATTGAACATCTTTTTATATGTTTATTGTCCATTTGCATACCTTGTGTGAAATCTCTGATTAAACCTTTGCCCATTTTTCTAATACAGGTTTGGATAGGCCTTATCCAAAATGTTTGAGACCAAAAGTGGATTTTGGTATATTTGCACATATATAATAAGCTATCTTAGGAAAAGGATTCAAGTATAAACACAGAATTTATTGATGTTTTACATATATCTTATATACTTAGCCTGAAGGTATTTTCATAGATTCTTTTTTTATTGCAGCATTTTGACTGCAACCTGTCACATGAGGTCAGGTGTAAAATTTTACACTATGGCATTGTGTCAGAGTTCAAAAAACTTCATATTTAGGAGCATTTTGCATTGGTGATGCTCAACCTGTAGGTTGTTTGGTTACTTAATATCAAGTTCTGTAGTTTTAATATATATTATGAGTAAGAGAGCTTTGTTGGATATTTTATGGTTTTAGTGTTTAGCCCTAAGTCTGTGTTTTCTATTTTTAATTAGTATCAGGTAAGAATTGAAGTTTATCTTCTTTTGTGCAGATATTCATTTTTGCTGAGAATACTATTTTTTCTCTTTTAAAACATCCATGAAATTACCTTAACAAGTTGGTCAAAAAAACAATGATCTATATAAACATGACTATTTCTGAGATGTGTATATTTTAGAGTTATGTTATTATATGCATATCCATTTGTAATTGTATAATCCTCTTATATTGTCTCAAAAGGAAATGCTTCTCTTGTGTTTAGTAATATTACTTTAAAGTTTTTTTCATCTAATATTAATATAATCGCTCCAGCCCTGTGAAGCTTAGGCTTTATATGATATTTTCCAGCCTTTTGCTTAATTTTCTACTATTTGTGTTTTTATTTTTAAAGTGCATTTCTTATACACAAAAACCAGGTGGGTCTTTCTGTTTTTCAAGTCAATCTCTATTTTTCTGGGGTGTTCAGTATATTTTCATTTAATGCAACTATCAATATTTGTAGATTTATTGTATGTCATTTTGCTATTTGTCTTTGTCTCTTTTTTGTTTTGCTGTTATTTTCTTCTGCCTTTTTCGATTTTTTGTGTGTGTTAAACAATTTCTTATGGATTGCGTTTTACTCTCCATTGGCTTGTTAGCTTTATTTCTTTGCGTTATTTTTATTGACTGCTCTAGGGACTATAATATACATTTTTTACTGGCAGTGAATGTAGGGGCACGTAAGAGTCCAGTTCCATTTGCCTACTCTTATTCTTTGTGCTACTGTCACATATATTGTGCATGTCCATTTACCTAGCTTTATTATAAATCCAAGAATATAACATTACAGTTAGGTTAAAGAGTTTTAAAGAAAATAAGAGGATGTACGTGTGTATACTTTTATATTTCCTTCTTAATTGTGGATTTCTTTCAATATATCTGAGTTATCATCTGATGTGTCTTATTTCAGCCTATTTTCCTTTAGCATTTCTTGAATGCAAACCAGTTTACAATGGATTTTATTACCTCTCATTCATTTAAAAGTACCTTTAGGCTTTTTTGTTTTTATTTTGTGAAGTTTATTTATTTATATCACGGGAGAAACCAAGAAGGAGAGAGAAAGACAAGCACTCTCGACAGGGTTTCCTACTATGATCCTTTCCCAGTCTTCCCAGCCAGCCAGGATCATGGACATGCGTGTGTCCTGCATGTACATGCCAACCGAAAAATCAACCCCAGTCTTCTTTATGGCTTCCAGCATTGCAGCCTGGTGTGTTATGACTGTGCCACTGTGCCTGGGCCTGCTCTTTTATCTTGGAAGAATGACTTCAGTGGATATAACCTTGGAAAACAGAATTTTTCTCCTCAATACTTTGGAATGTGTTATGGCTGTGCCACTGTGCCTGGGCCTGCTCTTTGATCTTGGAAGAATGACTTCAGTGAATATAACCTTGAAAAACAGAATTTTTCTCCTCAATACTTTGGAAGTTATGATAATCTCTGATAACCTCCGTTGCATTAATTAGCTGTTCATCATATTTTTGTTCTCTTTTTACTGTTCGCATGATTTCTTGTTATCGTTGGCTTAGCTGTGCCACTGTGCCTGGGCCTGCTCTTTGATCTTGGAAGAATGACTTCAGTGAATATAACCTTGAAAAACAGAATTTTTCTCCTCAATACTTTGGAAGTTATGATAATCTCTGATAACCTCCGTTGCATTAATTAGCTGTTCATCATATTTTTGTTCTCTTTTTACTGTTCGCATGATTTCTTGTTATCGTTGGCTTATAGTGGTTTTATCATGATGATCTTATGTACAACTTTGTACTTTTCTATTTGTGGTTCATGGAGCTCCTTATACCTGTGAGTTAAATGTTTTTCATCTGAGTTGGGAAGTTCTCTGGTTTTATTTCTTCAAATATTTGTCCACCCTTCTCTTTCTCTGTTCTTGGTTTGAATTCCAGTTATGTTTATCAGTTATGAGAGATGTTTCTGAAATACAGTTTTTTCCCCATTTTTATAACATTTGCCAGAGGGTCCATGCAATGGCCAGCAGACAGAAAGAGGGGGGTGGGGATGGTGGGGGAAGCACCCCCTATGGGGCATGGTCATGCTGCAAGCCCATCTCCTCCACTTCTCTGTCCTGTGGGGATTTAGGGCATGCAGGCACATGCCCAGCGCATTTCTCAAGCCTCCGGGCCTGAGACTCAAATCACATGGTAGCTGTGTAGGATCTGGCTCCTATAGTGCCAGCCTCTGAAACATAGCTTTAAACCTTGTAGAAATGCTTGGAAATAAGCTAGAGAAATATGAATAAAATGCCACAATTTTCTACAAATATTTACCTCCTTAATATACACACACAGTGGAAAAAATTAATGCTGCCTGTGCTCTCTTCCTGTTTTACAACATGTATTCCTAGGAGCATTCCCTCCCTCTGCCGTCTATGCACGGAAAGACTTGCTGCAGCGACCTGCCCATATTGCTACCAAGACTTTCCAAGCTCTCCGCATATTTGTGAACAATGAGCTCAATGAACTCTATGGGGGACTGAAGACGGCCCAGAAGTTTCTGAGACCTGGTGGTCGCCTTGTTGCCCTCTCCTTCCATTCACTGGAGGATAGGATTGTCAAACGATTCTTGCTTGGGATAAGCGTGACGGAAAGATTTAACCTCAGTACTAGGCAACAGGTGATACGAGCATCGCAACTGGCTTCAGGTCATGGAAACAAGGAAGGAGTCTCTACAGAAGGAGCTCCTTCAGCATGGGAACTGATACACAAGAAGGTCCTTACTCCCGAAGATCAGGATGTACAAGATAACCCCAGAGGGCGCTCAGCAAAGCTTAGAGCAGCTATCAAGTTATGAGAACGTCACCATCACCTGATCTTTTGAATTCCCCCTCACAGTTTTTCTTTTTCTTTTATTTTGTATGATGTTTCT